GCTGAAACTCCCTGTGTGAGGTGTAAGTACTTCCCTGCCAGGGCCGCTGTGCTAGTGTCATTCCATCTTGGGATGTTGTCAATAGTCTCCTCACTCATTTCCCTGCCTACAGCCTCTGCCTGGCCCAGTGCTGTTCTCAACTACTCATAGTCTTTCTATAGCACAGCCTGAGTCACTGATCTGCAGCCTAGACGCATTCAGTGAGAGACCTGGGGGAGCACAGATTACTCGTGAGGTCCTGCACAGCTGCACACGAGGGGAATGGCATGAAAGCCATAAGGGTGCTTTCTGCCTTCATGCTGCCCACAGACTGGAGAGAGCACACGTGTTGCACATAGTCATTGCACCATTCAGTACAGCAGGGTGGCCCCCCAGCCAGAGTGATCCAGAGACCTGGAGGAGTCCGGCAGTTGGTGGACTCTCTCAGCATTCATCCCACTGCTTTCCACCCAGTGCTCCCTCTGTTGACCTGCTCAGTTCCACAGAGCAGGAATCATCAGCAGTGCCCTTCTTTGGCAAGAGCTCTTTCCTCCTTACACCTTCCCTGGCTACAATACTAGACTAGGTCTCAGCAAACTTCTTCTGTAATGTCCCAGATGGCAAATATTTTGGGCTTTGCAGACCATATGTTTTTTGTCACAACTAGTTAATCCTGCCACCGTAGCATAAAGCAGCCATAATATGTAAACAAATGGGTGTTACAATAGAGCTTTATTTACAAAAACAGGCAGGGGGCCAAATTTGTCCCACAGGCTATAGTTTGCCAACCTCTGCTCTAGATGACTCATCCGGTTGGAAGGAGGACAGTATTGCTACTAGATCAGAGACGAAGCTGTCCACCCAGCCCTTCCCCCAACACCGTCATGTAGACCCTTCCCTCCATCTGAAATGCCCTTCTTCCTCCATCTACCATCTGCATAGCCACATTCTATCTGTTTCTCAGGGACCAAATCAGAAGGCTCTTTCTCTTGACAGACCTTCTTCCCATCTCCCCCACCCCACAGCCTCACTCCCCAGACCCCTGCAGGACCTACATCACCTTTGCCTTTCTTACAGGATACCCTCTCACTCCAGCTAGCCTATAAGATTAATGTCTGTCCCATCCATTTTTGTCCGAATAACCTAATATAGTGAACTAAACACCTAAATACACTGAATGATATTTAATAGGCACTTAAAATATTTGCAAAATAAGTGAACAATATAAGATTGATGCAGGGTGGCTGAAATTCTTTGACATTTAGGAGAAGGGAAAGAACAGCATGAACTTTGAAAGATAGGAAAGTCTCCCTATGGAAGGGAGGACTCGAGAGGGAGGTAGTTGGGCAAAAGTACCAGAAGGCACATTCTGGGGTGGGAGAGGCACAGAGCTACTGAAATGGGCACTACAGGATATTGGTGGGGGCAGGCAGAGTGGGAGGTGCGAGGTGATGGGGCAGCAAGGGACGTAGCCCAGCTCACAAAGGTTGACTTCGGAGGAGAACAGTGGGAAGGTTTGCTTTGCTCTGTGATGTAGAGTTGGCCTTCTGTGGCTGAGGCACAGCAATGGGCAGATGCGTTGTTCAAATCAGACGGTGAAATGAAGAAGGAGGCGGCAGTGGCTGAATGTCCAGTCTTCAGTCTGGTTTCTCGCTAATGGATAGTGCTCTGCAATGACTGCACAATAAACCTTTTATTCTGAAGCCAGCATTAGTATTTACCAATATGCTCTTGCTGGCACGATTGTTTAATAAAATCTGCAGGATCATTATTGCCTCAAAGGCAATGTGTTTTTCCAAAGAAATGTATATGGCCATAAAATATTCAAAAATGAAATATGGAAGAGGCTTTCTAATGCCTTCTAGAAATAGAATTGAAATACACACGGTACCAAATGAATTTATTTCTACTATTAAAATTCCTAATTTGCCAACTACTTAAAAAGCAACTTCAAGTAAGCAGAATAGGCATATGTTTTCCTCTGAGGGGAATATTTTAATAATAGAGACAGCTGATAGATAGACATTTGTATCTGAATCTCTTCTTTATGCCCCCATTAAACCAGAAATTGGTCTTTGCCAGTAGTGACCAAGTACATGTGTCCAAGACAAGGTGATTAACTGGAAGGGGGCCAATTGCAAAAGTGCTTATCCTGTCATGTTTAATACTCATCTTGTATATTCAACACATATATACACATTGGAGGCTTTAAATTCCCTCCCTGAAGAGAGAGACTGTACACAAAGCAGTAAATTACGTCTGCTGAAAATGGGTTGAGCAGTTTCTCCCCAGAACTCGTGTCCCTGCCCACAGTGATGGCCTCAGTGCAAGCCCACCAGCCCACATTGATTCTGGCAATAAAGCTCACCGTAGTGCACCACTGCAGTAGTCAGAGAATGGTTTAGTTGGACGCATATCTGTGCTGAATACATTGAAAAGCTATTAGCTTCCTGAGGGTCAGTAGCTGATATTCCATTTCAAAACACAGAATGTTGTCAGATATAATCATGAGAATTCATCAGACTCCACAGCAGTTTCTAAGCAATACTTTGACAGGAGGTGGTTTGTTTTGAATCTGGGAGTACTGAAAATGTTAAATGATGAATAGAGGTGCATAAACCAACTATCAGCTGGTCCATTTCTTTTGTAGGCTTGTTGGTAATTTTTTCTGCTAATTTTTTTCTTCCTGTAGCTTATTGTCATTGAAAGTCTCACTTCTTATAGCTATTGAGATGATTGTTTTCCTTTCTGCATAATTTTGTGTGAAATAAAGAATGTGTTTGGATTTTCTTCCAAGACGTCCTTACTTCCATCATCAGCACATTTTTCACTCAGTTTTCTGCATTTACTCTTCATAGACCCCTGCCACTGTTAATTACTACCGGGGTCCATCAGTTTTCTCTTTAGAAATGGTTCTTAAAAACCATAGCCACCACCCAAATTCTAACCTAAATCTATTAGAATCCTAAAGGGATAAAGTAGGAAAGAACATCAGCGATGGTTCTCCGAGGTCTTACGTGGACAGATCTAGCTCCGAAACCGCCTCCAGTTTTGGATTTGGTCTGCCCCCAGGGCTGGCTGTGCTGGGGGACATTGTGCTGAGATTCCGGCGGCAACTTGTGAGCTCCTTGCTCTGCTTCGGGGCTTTGGCCCAGCTAAGCCATCCTTCTCTTCTGCCCCCAGATTCATCTTCCCATATCCTCACTTTCATTATAGTCACTTTCTTTCTCACTGGCTGCCAATTACTTTCAGACTTTTTCACTTTTTACTTACAGGTCATCATAGTTTCGTTCCACCCAGTTTCTCCAAAGCATGCTTTTATTCCAGCCAACGTTCCTTCAGCTCCTCAACTTTCCGCGGTCATTGCTGGCTCCAGCCCTTCGCTCATGCTGTTGCCGTCATTAGATTGCTTGTTTTCCCTTCTGACTCTCCAGGATTTACCTTCGGGATCCACCTCAGCGTCCATGTGTTTCCTGCTGCCTGTCATCACAGGCCTCCCAGTCCCTAGTGGTTATTCTCATCCACCCTGCTGGCGTATGACTGCTTACCATGTGCATGGTGCCAGGGAGGGGACTCAAAGATGCACCAGGCTTGACCCTGGACACACAGCTAATAGCCCAGCATGGGCATTCAGACTTGCACACAAATCATTCTGGTGCTAGGGAGGATGTCATAAATGCTGTTTAAAAAAGAAAAAGATGCAGGTAAAGTTGGGCCTGTGTTTATACTAGTGTAGACCTCTCTGTGTGTCCAGAAGAGAGGCGGTATGAGGTTAAGAACTGAGATTTTGAAACCAGAGGATGTGTTGTTGATAATTAGCCTTGTGACCTTGGGCAGATACTTAACCTTTTTGTGCTCAGCTTTCTCATCTGTAAAGATGGAGATAACAATAATACCTGCCTCCCAAGGTTGCCATGAGGATTACTGAAGTTAACGTCAAAGTGCTTAGGACAGTGCCTGGCATGTAGTAGGCACCAGGTAAGTGTCCAGTGTTCACTGTTACTGCCGTCATCATCATCTCCATTGCTGCCTTGTTTACTTGACTCTAACTTTCTGAAGGGCAGCGATCACAGTGTGCCCTGAGTGTGTAATGGGTGCTTGGTCAACACTGAGTGGAAGGATAGATGACCTGCTGCTGCTGCTGCTTCCTCCTCTTCTTTTTCCTTCTTTCTTCTTCTTCTTTCTTTTTCTTCTCTTCTTTCTCCTCTTTTTCTTCCCAGCTTCTTCTTCTTCTTTTGATTTAGGATGGGAATAGTCAGAGCCCTCCCCCTCTCCCCCAGGCCTTCCTATGCCTCACATAGCACTACTGCAGAAGAACAGTATTTTAAAATGAATTGTCTGAGGAGGGCTGCATCAGAGGTCCCCAAGACCACTCCCAGGTTGGCTGAATAAATGGGACTCACAGCACTTGGCATATAGTTGTATGCATGGCTATGATTTATTACAGCAAAAGGACACAGAGCAAAGTCAGCAAAGCAAAAAGGCAGATGGGGCAAAGTCTAGAGGAAACCAGACACAGCTTCTAAGAGTCCTCTCCTGGTGGAGTCACACAGGATATGCTGACTTCTCCCGCATGGGACTGTGACAACACATGTCCAGGGCTGTCTACCAGGGAATCTTGCTACAGACTTGGTGCCCGGGGGTTTTGCCGGACTGGTCATACAGGCACAGGCTGCCTGGTGCATGCCAAAATCCCAGACTCCCAGAAGGAAAGCAGGTGCTTGGCACAATCCACATTGCTTGTGAGACATCATAGGGAAGATCAGTTAGGGGATGGTGGGAACCCTTCTGGAATCCAACTTCCCAGATGCCAGCCGTAGCCAGCCTTGCAAGCAAGTCTTCCTGAGGAGAGCAGTCTCAAGACTGCTGAGCTAATTCTTTCCTACACAGTAACGTAGGCTGAAGGTACGGACTGGGTAAGCTTTTGGCTAATTGGAGTTTTACAGCAAGAATCCTGACTCTCACTTAGCATATTTTAAGTATTTTATACATGTTTGTTGATGAAATATAATGAACAGAAAGAGAGATTTGAGATGGACATTGTGAAATAAAAACAAGTCGGAATTTGGAAGAGAATGTTAGTCTAGATTGCCCTATGCCTTGCGTGCCCTGAGGCTCACTGAATGTCCAGGCTGTGCTCCAGCTCTCTGGGATGCTCATGGTCTCACCTCCTGCTCACGGCTGAGCTGGGAGGCTGGAGTCCATGCTGATGGCCCTGTGCATGAGAGGATGGGAGACACACAGGTGGGGGTGGGAGAGCCGAAGTTTTCTCAGGCCACGCTGCCAGTACATGACAGAGCTGCAGGCTTGTCTCTGGCCCCTGAACTCCACAGCCCACATGTGTTCCTTCCACACAGGACAGGAAAGCTCAAGTGTAAGAAAGATCTCCCTGGGCTCCTCCTCATGCCCTGCTCTGTCCACATTACACGCTGTCAGCATCTACTCCCATCCTCCCTTCCCAGCACAGCCATCAGAAGGAACCTGCAGGCTTAGACCTTCATGCATCTTGCCACTTTGATTACACATTTTCAAATCCCTGTTATCTGTTACTGCATTCATACCCTACTTTGAAACACCAGAGGGATGAGATTTACTGGCCTGGTAGTGTTCACCCTGTTTCAGACTTTCTCTCCCTTCCCTTGCATATTCAGAGTCCCAGGTGGTCCAGCCTTCTCACAGGAGCCTGTGCCCTTGAGGCAGAGCTCAGATCCTGGACTAGGTTGCCCAGGTTCACGGTCTCAGCATGGATACTTCCTAGCTGTTTAAGCATGGGCTAGAAACTGTTCCTCACCTTCCTCAGCTGTAAATTCGGGATGATGAGAGTACCTACCTCCTGGGATGACTGTGGGATTAAAGAAAATACCATATTGTATTGATTCTAAGATGCATCCTCCAAAACACACATACTCTTGGGCATTTGTGAATCAGAATCTTACAATCGATGCTGCATCAGAGGTTAACTGGCAGCTTTTTCTTTCTTGGTGGTACATTCAATAATGGTGCATCTTAAAATCAATGGCATCTTAGGTTAGATAAAATACTGTAAAAAGTATGTAGCACTTAACACAGTGCCTGGCAGGAAATAAGTGTTCAAGAGGGTTAGTTATCGTTATCATCATCAAGGAAGGAGATCCACTAACATTCATCAGTGTTTTCTGTGTTTCAGTATCTAATTCTTAGAACTCACAAGACAAAGATTTTCGTCTCTATTTTGCAGATGAGAAAACAGGTTCAGGAAGTTCAGGCAACTCCCCTCCCCGCATAGAGCTGGTAAGGGGCAGACCTGAGGGTCCATCCGGGAGTCTAAGTCCCCACCCATTGGCCAAAGTTGGCCAGCTGCCTATTTTCATAGCTGCCTGCAAGCTCTGACTGGTTTTTACATTTTCGAACAGTTGAGAAAAAATAAAAAGTTCAATGTTTTGTGACACACAGAAATTTAGGAAATTTCCAATTCGATGTCCACAAATAAAGTTTTATTGGAACACAGCCCTGGAAATCGTTCACTTATATAGTCTATGGTGGCTATTGCTCTCTAGCAGCAGACGCCATGTGGCCTGCAACACCTGAAATAGTTGCCATTTGGCTTCTTTTCTGGAAAAGTTTGCAGATTTCTAGTCTAGCCATTGGCACTCTGACTTGTGCCCATTTGAGAAAAGCAATGTCTTATTCATCTTCTCTTCCATGTTTGATAGGTACTCAATAATTATTTGCTAAAATGACTTTCTGTCCTCACTTCTAAGTCTGAAAAGTAAATTTCAAGTCATGGAAGTTACCATGGCACCAGATAAACATCAAAATAAAATGCTCGTCCGCTCAAGGGGAAGAAAGCATGGTACAGAGGCTCTCCAAGGCTCTTTCCAAGTAAGCTCATATTTATGTTGCGATCTCTCTTGGAGATTAAGTAAAGTAAAGTGATTCTGAAGAACAAGGCCACATTGCCGGGAGCAGCTGAATGGTAAATAAATCTCAGGTAGGAGATGTTTTCAGGAAATTGAACACTTAGTAATCTCTGCTTATCAGCCCTTAGAAGGCCTCCTATGCCATGGCAGGGCCAACGCCGGTGACAGTGGTGTTCAGTTGTTCAGATACCCCTCGGCAGCTCTGAGGAGAAGTGAGTCATGATGTCCTGGCTTTGAAAGTCCTATTGGTTTTAAGAGATCAATCAAGTTATTGAAGCCAAACCACAATCTACGTTTTCTCTGCATTAAATGTGTACAAGGGAAGCAGGGGTAGGTGCACTCAAGGTCATCGTGAGGACTTGCTCAACTTGGAGTTTGAGCTGGACTAGGGCACATGGGCCTGAGTCAGGTGAGAGGCACTGAGGGGAGCCAGGAGGTCCCACCACTGCACGCTGAAGGGGCTAGGTACAAGCTACCCCATAGGCCACCTGGCTGCCAGCTCAAGGGCTGTTTGTGTATCTGTGGCTGCGGCAGCCTAAGAGCAGCAAAGATGGCCATTGCAGCACACCTGGAGGCTTTGTCTCCAGTGGGAGTATGCCTTGCTTTCCACACCTGTGCAGAGAAAACTTTGTAGAAAGTGGGAACCAGGCGCAAGCCACCTGCCCTGTGAAGGCCTATGCACCCCTGCTGCCCGTGAGCCTCACAGTTCCTCGGAGACCCGCAGTCGAGGCTCTCCAAAGCTTGCTTCATGCATTTTGGTGGTGTTGTTAAATAATTTCCCTTTCAGTCATTTCCCATAGAAACATAATTCTTAAAAGGCTTTTTGCCTTTTTTTTTTTTTGCTCTGTTGCCCAGGCTGGAGTACAGTGCTACCGTCTTAGCTCACTGCAGCCTCCACCTTCTGGTTTCAAGTGATTCTCCTGCCTCAGCTTCCCAAGTAGCTGGGATTTCAGGCACCCACCATCATGCCCAGCTAATTTTGGTATTTTTAGTACAGACAGGGTTTTACCATGTTGGCCAGGCTGGTCTTGAACTCCTGACCTCATGACCCACCCATCTCGGCCTCCCAAAGTGCCTGGCCCCACTTTTTGTTTTTTAAAAGAAAATCCCAGGAAAAAATAAATTTAGGGGAAAAAGATTCCCAACCAGGAATTCATTCAATGGAAATGTATATTCCATAAAGTGAAATTCAGCAAAGTCTATTGTAGCTGATTCTCTAATAACCATCCTCGATAAAATTGGATCTATTCTCTTATAGTTTGCCTCTTCCTCCCAAAAGAGAAGTGTGATTCTCAACAAATATTAGTTATGGTTACAGCACAGTGAATTTTTGCTTATTAGTTTTTCTCTTGAATGTGGAGACATACCTACATGTAAGGGAAATTTTCACAAGAAAAAATAATCATGCTTAAGATTCATTGAAAACCATTTCTAAAACAAGCCATGTTTATAAATGTGTGTGCACACGTTCTAAGCATGAAGTATGTCAACAGTTTTTGGGTTAAAATGCTTGTGTGGACTAGTCCAGGGTCCCTATAAGTGAGAACCTAAACGTATGTTTCTTCCATTACCTTTTTTTCTTTTTGAGATGGAGTCTCACTGTGGCATCCAGGCTAGAGTGCAGTGACATGATCTTGGCTCACTGCAACCTCCGCCTGCCAGGTTCAAGCGATTCTCCTGCCTCAGCCTTCTGAGTAGCTGGAATTACAGGCATGTGCCACCACGACCACCCAATTTTTGTAGAGATGGGGTTTCACATATTGGCCAGGCTTGTTTCAAACTTCTGATCTCAGCTGATCCACCTGCCTTGGCCTCCCAAAGTGCTGGGATTACAGGCCTGAACCACTACCTATTCCATTACTTCTAATCAGTTATCCATGGACTTTTAGAAAACATGTGGATATGGATACTACCTTGAACAAAGGTTGTAGAAAAATTATAAGGAGGTGACGGTGACTTTTAGAATGCTAAGGCTATAATCCTTTTTGTGCCATCATTTTTTTTTTAACCCTTTAGGTTTAACTGTGGCAGGGGGGGCAGGGGGCGGGCAAGAATTCACATGGTTTTTACCAGTTCCTTCTGCCTAGGAAGGTTACCACATCTTCAGACAAAATGCTTGAAGAAGACGAGGAATTGTAAACCAGGCTAAATTATTCATGAGAATATTAAGAAGGGAAAAAATATTTTCATTAAAAAAAATAAACCTCACACTGTAGTGACAGTCAGAATTAGGTTAAAAAATAGAGCCATCTCTGGGAAAAACCATCGAATTTTAATTAGCTCATCACTCTGAGCAATTCTGGTGTGTCAGCAGGTTCTTCCTTGCCATATAGTCATTTTTATAGGTTTAAGTAAAAATAGGAACTGGTGTGCAGCCTAAACAGGCTGCATAACGAACCCTCCTTCCTGGCAACTCACATCTTGGAAAGCGGATGCTGCTGCCTGGCCTGATAGGACTTCCCCTCCTGCTTGGTGTCTCTGTCAAACCTTGCTGTCTTCCCCCACTCATGCCGTTCTTGCTCCCCCACATCCCTCTCACAGTTTGTGATTCCCCATTCTATTGGATTGTTTTTTTTTTCCATAACTTATTGCATTGGAGGATTGGTTTTAATTTCCCTGAAATCTTAAAATTAAATTGCCCATCCTTAGCTTTTTCAGCTTTTCAACACTCTGACCCAGTTTATGTTGAAATGTGGCCAGTTTGACAGAAGCAAAAGCTCCTGTTAAGGCAGTACTTCTGAATCTTAGGAATATTTTTGGGTCAGAGACCCCCTTCCAGAATTTGATGGCAGCTACAAGTCCCTCACCTGCAAAAGCACGTATCTCTTACACACACATGTACATGTGCATAGAGGTTTCACATGAAGTTACAGAGGCCTCTGATATCCATGAACACATTCATGGATCCCAGGTGAAAATTACATGGCCAAGGAGCAGGTCCCAGGGTTGGGCATGGGATGCAAAGGCCTCACAGGGAAGCCTGGCCTGCATCCTCGCATGCACCGGGATCATGTGGAAGAGCAGGGTGTGAGGGGCTGGGAAGGGGAGCATATCCCCGAGATGCAGATGCCATCAACCCTTTGTCATATAGGGCCAAGGATTCAAATACACCTGTTTCCAGAAAACACTCTCCATAAGGGTGGGAAGTGAGTGGTTGTGACTTCCTAGCCCAAGGCCACCCACCTTTGCTCTCTGCCTTCAGTCACTTTGACTTGCCCAAGTCCAGTGATGGGTGCTGGGCCTCTTGGTCCACTGGTGAAGACGCAGAGATGGACATTTCTTGATGAGGCTGTGACAGGAGAGAGGACTCAGTGTTCAGGAAAATGAGACTTGACCCAGCAAGAAAAGCACAGAGTCCAGTGTCGGGGTTCTTCCCTGTACTAAGCAGAAGGAACCATTGTTACTGATCTGAGTCCCAGTCAGGGTCATTGGCTGCACTGATGGAGGCTGGTTCCTTTTTTATTTCATGTGACTAGTCTTTAAGTGCTAACAAATAGGAGTTCTTCTACATAGAAGCCACTGGAAAACCTCACCTAGAATTCACTCTAAGCCCTTCTACTGCCACTATAAGCTTTGACTTTAGGAAACCTAACTTATGTCCCTCAGGTTCCTCCTCTGTGCAATGGGAGCATGAGTGTTTTCATCCCCAGACTGTAAAGTCATAGAGAAGCTGCCTGGCCCCTTCCATGCACTCTCTGAGATCCAGATGCATCTCGGTCCTGGCCAGGCTGCCACATGCCTGCACTGATTTTGGGGGGCATCAAGGAGTGAGATACAGATACTGCAGAAGACTGTTCCTAGGGCAGGGACGATGGGAGAACAACCCTGTAGGCACCATCACATCTACCTTGCTAATGCCCAAGATGATAGCATCTTGAAATAGACATTTCCCATTACACAGTAAAGCACAAGCAAAAAGGAAGAAAGAGACGTTTTCAGTGATGGCCAAAGAATAGGCTTTGAATACCCAACTAACTGAACCAGCCTGATCCTTTATCCTGCCTCAAAAATTTGATTTCTGGATTGTTTGAGAAATGTGCTTTGACCTTCTAAAGGCCGTGAGACTGATGCTCTTGCCACTAATGCAATTATAACCTCAGAGAAGCAGAAAGCTCCAGGGAAAAGAGCATTTCCTTCAAAATACACATGCACTTCCCTCTAAAGGTTTGCGAGCAGATGTTTGGTGGAGACAGAAGGCATCAGGAGTTGGTGGGGTGCCTGCAATGACTGATTGCCATGTTTGCACACTGTTCATCTGCTCACTGCCTAAGACCTGGCATTAATCCCCCCTGCCCTTCCTTCTGGAGGAAAATGATTTCTGCCAGGGGAGTTGAGTAACACTGATAAAAATCAACTGAGTTTTCATTTTGAGTGGAGGATGGGATAGGCAACAGAGGCCACTTGCTTGAACTAGGTCCTGCCCCCGCTTGCTAGGATCCTGCCTGTCCAAGGTTCATGCTGGCTTCTGCTGGGCATGTGGTCAGGAGGTAAATTATTAAGCTCTGTGCTTTAGTCATTCTCTGAGGCTGATATTTCAGACTGAAGTTTACTGGATGAAAGTGGTCTGTCAAGTTTTATGAACTTCAGCAATTACATAGATCGTATAGAAGTATTTTCCACAGATAGCTTGAGTAGCAGTAACTCAGGAAAAGGTAGTTCGCATATACTACTGGTGGTGATAATAAAATAGGAAGCAGTTTGTTGAGTCAGGAACTGTGTGAGGGACTGAGCATGTATTAACCCACAACACTGCAAGCTAAATAATTAACACCATTTAACAGAGGAGAACGCCATGGCTCACAAGGTGGACCATAGGGCATCGTACCTCACACCCTTCTTTTTCTGGTGCTGACTCCCATGACCCCTCCACTGTGTTTTCTGCTGATGGGTGATGCCATGCACACTCCAATGCATGCATCATTGCTGTGAGAAGTTAAAGGAGCCAGAGAGAAATTAAGTGAATAACAGAAACTAACGTGTCTTTGGTTAATGAAGTATGTTGGCTAGAAGATAAAGTTTTCTGGTTTTGTTTTCCCTTTTGCTACCGATGTTTCCAATAAACTTAAGGTTAAGGATGCTTGCATTAAAGACATGATGACTGTTTTTTTAATGTTTTAACATTTTTAGGGAAAAAAAACATGTAGTTCAACCCTTGTCTATTATAACAACAAAAAAAGAATTTCTTTTTAGCAGATTATCCTGGAAAATCCAGGAGGATCATTTCCAGAGTTACAGGTCTAATTTGTGATCTTTAGTGTTAGCTCTTGGCCAGAAACACTGTTAAATAGAGAATGTGCTATGTGAGGGCACCGGGTCTGCCCACTGCTGCGTCCCCAGCGCCTAAACAATCAGGCTCAGCAACACCAGAGTGCCTGACAACTGGATCTACAAGCCAGTATTTTAGAATTCTGTTCTGTGTCAAAGCAGCTTCACTATAGTCTCTTCCTGTGTCTTCCCAAATTACACAAACAACAGAGGTCAGTGCAGTGGTGCAATCTTGGCTCACTGCAACCTCCGCCTCCCGGGTTCAAGCGATTCTCCTGCCTCAGCCTCCCCAGTAGCTGAAATTATACGCACATGCCACCATGCCTGGCTAATTTTTGTATTTTTAGCAGATAGAGTTTCACCATGTTGGCCAGGCTGATCTCAAACTCCTCACTTGAGGTGATCTGCCCACTTCAGCCTCCCAAAGTGCAGAGATTACAGGTGTGAGCCACCATGCCCAGCCATAGAGCCGTTTATTAGTTAACAAACTATACTGCCGACACCTGTGCCTCATTCTCTCCGCCCTTTAATGTCCCGTTGGCACCCTGGGGCTCAGATCATTCCAGGGACCTCGGCACCTTTTTGCCGTCCCCCTACCCCCTGTCCACCCCTACCACCAGAGTGGAGCTTTCCAAACCCAGACCCACTGCATCACTCTTCAGCTTCATGTCCTCTCAGCAGCTCTGACTGACCCCAGGCCAGATTCCAAGTCTGAGCCCACACGTCCCAGATAGTGGACAGCACCAGCTCATCTCCTGCCACTCTCCATGCCACGCTCCTCCTGCCAGGTGCCTCTTGCTCCCGTGTGGCTGCCTCGGCTGGGAGCGAACTGCTCCCTCCAGCTGCACCCTGCATGCGTGAGACCTCTCACTGACCCTGGAAACACAGCAGTAGGATCACTTCCTGATGCCCTCACTCACCTCTGTGTTGAATTTAGGTGCTTCCTCTGTGACCTCATCACATGGTATGAGCAGGGCCCCTGGGCCAGGTGTGATCTCATCACATGGTGTGACCAAGGAGCCTGCACTGGGTGTGACCTCACTTTTTTTAAAGAAGGGAATGAATTTTTTTAAGGGAGGAAATAAATATAAAAAATCTTTGTCCTAGAGTCAGAAAACCTGGATTCATGTCTTAAAGTTGAGACTCTCTTAGCTCTGTAACTGGGTGATTTACTATAGAGAGCTGATGTTGGTTCCTTGAAGTATAACATGGGAATTGTGCCTCTTCCAGCTTACCTAGTTGCCGTGAAAATCAAATGCACTCATATGAATAGAGAGGTTTTTGAAGCTATGAAACCCTGCGCAGGTGTCTGGTGGCACCATCAGGATACTTGACGTTCCTTTCCAAGCAATACAACATTGCATATTTGTGTGCAGACTGGATAAAGAGCTTTCTGTTACCTGTGACCCATCCCAGAGAAGCTCAGGAAAGTGCCTCAGGAGACAGTGAAGGCAAAAGCTCTGTTGGGTAAGATGCAAATGTCAGACCATGCCAGAGCCTTCCCTTGTGTGGGCCCATGGGCCAGGCCAGATAAAGTCAGTACTGTTTGGGGCCACCAACCACACCAGAATGTCCTTCATGCCTTTGCCGTGCCCAGAGGCAACTCATGCCTGTGAGGATCAGCCAGTCCCCGGCTCTGCCCCATGTCCTCTGTCCTTTTGGAATGTAGAGCTGGTGCCCAGAGAATACCAGGATGGGGACGGGGCACTGGAGTGACCATCTAGTAGATGGCTGAGCAGAGGCCAAAGAGGCACCCAGCAGCTCCCCAGAAAATCACCCCTTTGTCTCTCTGGAACCTGGCATTGGTTAAAGCCAGGAAGGACCAAGCTGGAATGCTGTGCTTTTTCCTTTTTGGGGTGTCATTGTCCTCTAGAGAATCACAAGCAGGCTCCTCAGTACTGAAGGTGCCACGTCCTAGCTTGGGTGTGACTGTGGGTGCCCACGCTGGGCCCAGGGCTGGCCACAGGCAGCAGCATGTCACATCAAGGTGAGCAGCAGGCCACGAGTGGTGACTAAGCACGTGAGCCATATTCCTGCCCTTTCCTTTCTATCCCCTCCCCTTCTCCCTCAGAGCCTCTCCTCAGCCTGTGTCCCGGGGTGTCACAGTCCTCCGAGGAGGAGGCCTGGGCCCTGTCTCAGGTCCTGTTCTGGCGGTAGCCTGGCCCCTGGGACAGAGCCCAACAGGCAATTGCTGACTGTCCAGTCCTGCTGTGACACACAGGCAGTGCTGCCCGAGCTTACCCATGCTGCTGCGCTTAGTGTGGAAAGGCCAGCTAGGGCTGCGGGAAGAGAGAACTGACTTTGATGTGGGGGAGACCCATCTGCTTTGATATTTTGTGTTAATTTAAAATGGGAAAAACATAAGTCACAAAAAACATGCCCTTGCCTGAGCGTGCCAGGCCTTACTTCCCACCCAAGTGGAGAGCCCGTTTCTGAAGCTGCAGGTGGTGGCCTGTGGGATGTCCCAGGATGCAATGAAGGGCCCTGGGTCAATGTTCTCAGGCAGGGGCATCAGCTGCTGTAGGCACAGGGGCCAGGCTGCCTGGGCTGGCTGTGGTGGGCACGGACCCAGCCAGGGCAGCCAGTGTCTGAGGAAGTAGGGTTAGTAGGATTCTCACACAGGACGGGACGCTGTGCCTGCTGAGTGCTGAGCAGTGGGAATGCAGATCAAAACTCTTCCTTGGGCTCTGAGCAGTCTGCAGTTGAAAGGCTGTTAATTGGCAGAGCCTATTTAATATTTCATTCATGCACACATGGAAACAAAGAGGCGGCCGTGGCAGGAGCTGGCACAGGACATTCCCCTGTCCCCACCACCCCATTCCCCTTGCCCTCAAAATCTTTATTCGATGGTCCTTAATGTCCGTATTTAATTCATGCTTCCTCTGCTGGTTCCTGGAGGTCTGCATGCTTCTGGGACCTGCAGCCTTTCTCCACAGGGAGAGCTGGGCTCCGGTTCTCCCCTCTTCTCTCTGTGTACTAGAGAGACGGAGAGGCCAGATTTGTAGATGGCATCTTGGGGGCTCTGCCTGGCCCCAGAGTTCCATTCCTGCATTGCCTTGCTAAAGAGATGGGATGGGAGCTTTGCTGTGCTCATTAAATTCAATCCCATGGAGCCCAGGGCCATGGAGAGTTCTAAGAAAGGTCATGGCCTTTGCCTGGTTAACAGCTGCTTGGGTCAGGAAACAGTATCCTTAGTGGTTGTTTCAATCCCTGATAAAAATGAATGCAAGTTTTTTCAAAGTTTACTTTAAAAAAAATGTATTTCTCCCTAGAGGACCTCATAGGGCCTGTAATTTGCTGACAAGCACATGCATCTGAGGGGAAGGTGTACAGAATGACCTGATAGGTTTCCTCTGTGTTTCTACAGCCTGTGTGTGAGGTGGGGCTTGAGCATCAGCATGCAGCAGTGTGGTGTTGATTTGGAGTATGTTCCATGCCTGATTGTAAATCCCTCAGGGTAGGGACTGTGTCTTTATCTCCGTAGGTCCTGGCACTGGAACATGGTTCCCACTTTACAGGTGTTCCGGGCCTGGATGCCTTTGTGATCTGTTGAGGTGGCCTCATGTTTCTTCTTGCCCCAACAATATGATTCAGCAAAAAGACAACTGAGTAACAGACCCATGGAGTGATTTTTCTTGGATCCCATGGGGTTTGCTGTGTTGAGACTGGGCTTTCAAGTCTGAATTCAAATGAGAGTGAGGTTTACTAATGCAGAGAGACTAATATTCTCTGTGAAATTGGGCACAGAAGCTAAGTCTGGAGACCCGAACCCCAGAGTTTTAGAGATAGAATTGATGGCAGGTGGGTCACCATTCTCCTGGTACCCCAGCCAGTGTGGCCTTTCCCAGCAGCTGAACTTTGGACCCCCTCTCCGTGACATTCTGCTGCTAACCTGGCCACATGATGCTGCTTGAGGCAGCCATAGCCTGAGGCCGGACAGCTCTTGAGAGAGGACAGGCTCTGGGTTAAATTATGGCCACAGATGGAAGGGACCCAATTCCTTAAAAAAAAAAAAAAAAAAAAAGCGATGTAGGGGTCTTTAACTGTCTTTAAAGGGCAGAGCTTGGGGGTCCCCATGTCACTCCTATTGAAGCACCTTTCCCTCTCTCTCTTTTTTTTTGGGTAGAAAGACAGTCGAGGGGGTGTGTTCTGTGTAACCCTGCTACAAGACTCCTTTCGGGGAGAAACCATGATCTAAGTCACAGCTGGCTGGGGTCTTAAGTCCTTGAGTGATTTAACTTGGAGTCAGGCATAAAATGGGGGGTAGGAATAGAAAATATACGAACAACAGGCATATGAAATGTGGGACACTCTGTGGCCTGGACGTCCCTGCTGCCTCTAGCTTCCCACAGCTGCTGATACCCACCAGCGCCTCTCATCACTCCAGTCCCCGCTCTGACTTTCTGTTCCTGCTACCCCTGTTCCCCACCCCAGCATCCTTGCCTGAGGGCAGCCTTTGTCCAATCCTGTTCCCGCCTTGGATGACCACGCCACCTGTGGGCCTGCCTGGCCGAATGCAGGTCTCCATCAGAGGGGCCCATCTGCCTGGGGGTGCCTGCACATCTGTTGTGTTGACATCACTGAGGACCCATTAGGGGCTCAGTCCAGCTTGTAGGCCTCTTTGTTTCCTGAATAAACTGGGACAGTATCTGGGGCTTAGATAAGCAGTCAACATAGCAATAAGTGATACAGAGATGTGTGGACTAAGAAGACTGTTGAGGTTGACTCGGATGTATGCAAAGACCCTGAAGTGACCTCCCTCCACGGTTGAGCCGTTGCCTGCAACCCGACCGTGAGAATGCAGTTCTTGATTTTAAGGCCCATGGGAGAAATGCCCCCAAGAGCAGTAATGCTGTGAGCTCTGTGACTCACCCCACCTCCTGATGATTGAACTTATCTGATCCTCCAGAGTTTAAGGATCCTCGGGTGGATGGGTGAGGCCAGAGCTCTCAAAAGCCAATACTACGGACTTGCCTTTTTTCTTGTTGTTTTAGGGAGTGTTTGTTTTATCATGGTAAAATAAACATGGCATAAAATTTGCCATTTTAACTATTTTTAATGTACCATTCAGAGCCATTAAGTAATTCACATTTTTATGCCGCCATTACCACCATTTATCCCTAGAGTTCTTTTCATCTTCCCAAACTGAAACTCTGTCCCCAAGAAACACTCACTCCCTGTTCTCATCCGCCTAGTCCCAAGCAGCCACCGTTCTACTTTCTGTTTCTGTGAATTTGACTAAGAACCTATTTAAGTGGAATCATGCAATGTTTGTCCTTTTGTGACTGGCTTACTTCACTTAGCATAATGTCTTCAGAATTCCTTCAGAACAAGGATCTCTAAGGACAAAACAGTGAAAATTAGAAGAAAAGCAACATGTTTCTCCATTCTGTAGCATGTGTCGGATATGGCCTCCCTTTTGAAGGCCGAGTCATATTCCATCATCTGGATGGATCGTATTTTCTTACCCATTTATCGGTTGATGGACCCTTGGGTTATTACCACCTTTTAGCTGTTGCGAATATGCTGCTGTGAATATAGATGTGCAAATATCTTTTCAAGTCCCTGCTTTTGCTTTGGGGAAATACATACTCAAAAGTGGCATTGCTGGGTCAGATGGTAGTCCTGTTTAATTCTGTGAAGAACAGTGGTACTGTTTTTTCCAGTTGGCTGCATCATTGTACATTCCCACCAGTGTTGCACCATGGTTCCAGTTTCCCTACATTTTTGTCAGCACTTGTTATTTTCTGTTTCTGTCTGACAACAGCCACCATCATGATGGATGTGAAGGGCCCCTCATTATCACTGTGATGTATGTTTCCCCAGTGACAGTGATGCCAAGCATCTTTCCATGTGCTTATTGGCCATCTGTATGTCCTCTTTGGTTTTAAACTTGCACTCAGATGGATAGTTACTTGTGTGACCTAAGGAGAACTACTCAGTGATGAAGAATAAATGTGGCAACACCAGCTAGCATAGCTTAGCAGCATCTGTCATCTGCCTGAGGGCCGTGAATTCCCAGAGAGATGGCGGTGAATTCCCAGGGAGATGCTCATTCTCATACTGTCCTAGAATGAAATGAGTCTCAGCTGGTGT